GGAGGGACTCTGGGATGGTGTTGGGGAGAGAGGGGGCAGGTGGAGGGACTCTGGGATGGTGTTGGGGGAGAGGGGGCAGGGTGGAGGGACTCTGGGATGGTGTTGGGAAGGGGGGGTGGAGGGACTTTGGATGTTTGGGGAGAGAGGGGGCAGGGTGGAGGGACTCTGGGATGGTGTTCGGGGAGAGAGGGGGCAGGGTGGAGGGACTCTGGGATGGTGTTAGGGGAGAGAGGGGGCAGGGTGGAGGGACTCTGGGATGGTGTTAGGGGAGAGAGGGGGCAGGGTGGAGGGACTCTGGGATGGTGTTGGGGAGAGAGGGGCAGGGTGGAGGGACTCTGGGATGGTGTTAGGAGAGAGGGGGCAGTGTGGAGGGACTCTGGGATACTGTTAGGGGAGAGAGGGGGCAGGGTGGAGGGACTCTGGGATGGTGTTAGGAGAGAGGGGGCAGCGTGGAGGGACTCTGGGATGGTGTTAGGGGAGAGAGGGGGCAGGGTGGAGGGACTCTGGATGGTGTTAGGGGAGAGAGGGGGCAGGGTGGAGGGACTCTGGGATGGTGTTAGGGGAGAGAGGGGGCAGGGTGGAGGGACTCTGGGATGGTGTTTGGGAGAGAGGGGGTAGGGTGAAGGGACTCTGGGATGGTGTTGGGGAGAGAGGGGGCAGGGTGGAGGGACTCTGGGATGGTGTTGGGGAGAGAGGGGCAGTGTGGAGGGACTCTGGGATGGTGTTAGAGAGAGGGGGCAGGGTGGAGGGACTCTGGGATGGTGTTCGGGGAGAGAGGGGCAGGGTGGAGGGACTCTGGGATGGTGTTAGGGGAGAGAGGGGGCAGTGTGGAGGGACTCTGGGATCGTGTAGGGGAGAGAGGGGGCAGGGTGGAGGGACTCTGGGATGGTGTTAGGGGAGAGAGGGGGCAGGGTGGAGGGACTCTGGGATGGTGTTGGGGAGAAGGGGCAGGGTGGAGGGACTCTGGGATGGTGTTGGGGAGAGAGGGGGCAGGGTGGAGGGACTCTGGGATGGTGTTAGGGGAGAGAGGGGGCAGGTGGGGGTGGGGGGGGGGGGGGGGCAGGGTGGAGGGACTCTGGGATGGTGTAGGGGAGAGAGGGGGCAGGGTGGAGGGACTCTGGGATGGTGTTGGGGAGAGAGGGGGCAGGGTGGAGGGACTCTGGGATGGTGTTGGGGAGAGAGGGGCAGGGTGGAGGGACTCTGGGATGGTGTTAGGGGAGAGAGGGGGCAGGGTGGAGGGACTCTGGGATGGTGTAGGGGAGAGAGGGGGCAGGGTGGAGGGACTCTGGGATGGTGTTCGGGAGAGAGGGGGCAGGGTGGAGGGACTCTGGGATGGTGTGGGGGGGGGAGAGAGGGGGCAGGGTGGAGGGACTCTGGGATGGTGTTAGGAGAGAGGGGGCAGGGTGGAGGGACTCTGGGATGTGTTGGGGGGGGGGGGGGAGAGAGGGGCAGGGTGGAGGGACTCTGGGATGTTGTTAGGAGAGAGGGGACAGGGTGGAGGGACTCTGGATAGTGTTGGAGAGAGAGGGGGCAGGGTGGAGGGACTCTGGGATGGTGTTAGGAGACAGGGGGCAGTGTGGAGGGACTCTGGGATGCTGTGAGGGGAGAGAGGGGGCAGGGTGGAGGGACTCTGGGATGGTGTTGGGGAGAGAGGGGGCAGGGTGGAGGGACTCTGGGATGGTGTTAGGAGACAGGGGGCAGTGTGGAGGGACTCTGGGATGGTGTTAGGGGAGAGAGGGGGCAGTGTGGAGGGACTCTGGGATGGTGTAGGGGAGAGAGGGCAGTGTGGAGGGACTCTGGGATGGTGTAGGGGAGAGAGGGGGCAGGGTGGAGGGACTCTGGGATGGTGTTGGGGAGAGAGGGGGCAGGGTGGAGGGACTCTGGGATGGTGTTAGGAGAGAGGGGGCAGTGTGGAGGGACTCTGGGATACTGTTAGGGGAGAGAGGGGGCAGTGTGGAGGGACTCTGGGATGGTGTTAGGAGAGAGGGGGCAGCGTGGAGGGACTCTGGGATGGTGTTGGGGAGAGAGGGGGCAGGGTGGAGGGACTCTGGGATGGTGTTAGGAGAGAGGGGGCAGTGTGGAGGGACTCTGGGATACTGTTAGGGGAGAGAGGGGGCAGGGTGGAGGGACTCTGGGATGGTGTTGGGGAGAGAGGGGGCAGTGTGGAGGGACTCTGGGATGGTGTTAAGAGAGAGGGGGCAGGGTGGAGGGACTCTGGGATGGTGTTGGGGAGAGAGGGGGCAGGGTGGAGGGACTCTGGGATGGTGTAGGGGAGAGAGGGGGCAGGGTGGAGGGACTCTGGGATGGTGTTAGGGGAGAGAGGGGGCAGGGTGAAGGGACTCTGGGATGGTGTTGGGGAGAGAGGGGCAGGGTGGAGGGACTCTGGGATGGTGTTAGGAGAGAGGGGCAGTGTGGAGGGACTCTGGGATACTGTTAGGGGAGAGAGGGGGCAGTGTGGAGGGACTCTGGGATGGTGTTAGGAGAGAGGGGGCAGCGTGGAGGGACTCTGGGATGGTGTTGGGGAGAGAGGGGGCAGGGTGGAGGGACTCTGGGATGGTGTTGGGGAGAGAGGGGGCAGTGTGGAGGGACTCTGGGATACTGTTAGGGGAGAGAGGGGGCAGGGTGGAGGGACTCTGGGATGGTGTAGGGGAGAGAGGGCAGTGTGGAGGGACTCTGGGATGGTGTTAAGAGAGAGGGGGCAGGGTGGAGGGACTCTGGGATGGTGTTGGGGGAGAGAGGGCAGTGTGGAGGGACTCTGGGATGGTGTAGGGGAGAGGGGGCAGGGTGGAGGGACTCTGGGATGGTGTTGGGGGAGAGAGGGGGCAGGGTGGAGGGACTCTGGGATGGTGTTAGGGGAGAGAGGGGCAGGGTGGAGGGACTCTGGGGTGGTGTAGGGGAGAGAGGGGCAGGGTGGAGGGACTGTGGGATGGTGTTGGGGGAGAGGGGGCAGGGTGGAGGGACTGTGGGATGGTGTTGGGGGAGAGAGGGGGCAGGGTGGAGGGACTCTGGGATGGTGTTGGGGGAGAGGGGGTGGAGGGCCTCTGGGATGGTGTTGGGAGACGAGCTGGATGCTCGCCCGCTGATGGTGGGGCGGGACGGGTGCGGGACTTGAAGCAGGAAACGAGACACAGACTGAAAAATAGCGACAGGGAGCGACTGCAAACGAGCATCAGATCACACACAGTCCACACACAGTGCAATTGGCACAACAATAAATATATATATATATTTAAAAAAAGCTTCAAGTCTCATTTCATTCGGGTTGAGATATATGTTGCAGTGGAGGTTTGCATTGTACTCTGGGCTCGAGCTTCTGGTTGTCCTGATGATGATTTGTTTATTTAAGAAGTTAAAGCTTTCCATTTCAGTGAGTTATTTACAACTGCACACACAGTGGTCACATGTTGCGCTGCACTTCCTGGTTGTAACCCACACACACCTTTGCTGAAACTTTGAAAGATTGTACGCAGTGCAACACATATTATATCTATATATATATTTAGGAGCGCTGGAAACGATTGCGATCCAAACTGTTGCAATGCCAGCGATTCAGCACAGTGCTGTATTAATATGCAATCATCGAGCTGCTGCAGAACTGTGCAGTCTGCACCAACAGTTAACTGTTTCGGAAATAATTCAACGAGAGAAAGGCATAGGGGAGGGGAGGGGAGGCGATCACACCGCCGATCGCTGCACGAAACCACCGTGTCATCCGTTCACATCCATGAGGTTGCAGTTAATATTGTGTCAGTGATGAATCTCATCGTGAATCGAGACACCTTTCCCCAGAGGTCCCCTCAGTTCCGCGCATCCTCTTCAGCCCTGAGCCCTGGATACAGGCACTGGTCAGCTTTAGTGACTGTGTTAACCTGATCTGCTGTAGCTCTGATCAAGCTGTGGGGGCTGTGTCAGGACGTGAATGGGATTCACTTATTGGACGTCTTTTACACTCGCTCTCTCGTGACTTATTAGGACTGAAGTGCCGGATTAGAAATGTACAGGATCTGTATTAACATGTCATCTAAAACAAAACACACACTTAATAAGCCTTTGCACAACCCGCTTTTGGGTTTCGGGCCTTAAAATCAGACAGATCCTTTTTTTTGGATGGTATGATTATTATTTGCACTGCAGTATTATCTATCCCAGCGAGAAGCCGAGATCAAAAGAGGGGGGCAATCTCGATTCTCAGGAGGGGAGAACTGAAAGGAATCGTATGTACAACCGCGGGCCAATGATGATTCACCACAGGTACTCATTCTGTCTGCAAAGACGTGCCTTCTCCTCTCCAGTGGCTTCACTGTGTGCAGAGATCGTGAGTCAGTGAGAAATGGAGGAACACCAGGTGGGGGTGGATGCTTTTGTGTGTCTGTGGGCTAACCGCACTACAACGGCAAAAAGAAAACCTCATTAGTCACCCACACACCCACATATTTAAAGCGCCCCCAGTGATGCTCAGATTTTCACCCTCCTCCCACCTCAAAGGCTGCAGCTCCCTGACTGGGAGCATCTTTGCAAAGCCATCTTTCCAAACAGGTGAAGGGAAGCCAGGATGAACATTTCTGTTCCTCGAATTGGAGGAGAAACACACACTGTGAACAAAATGAAATCTTGGAAAGCATGGTTCCGAGCTGATGCCTGGGGCAGCTTATTTTTTTCAGCAGAAAAAAACTATTTCTAACATCATCTTTACGATGTGAGTTGAAGTAATCCGTTTTACATTTGTTGTACATGGTGTTTTGGTCCATTTGCTCCAACTAATGTCCAGTCCAGACATTAGAACCAATGTTCTCATGACCGTATTGAGAAATTCATTTCTATTAACTCTGCATATAGTTAATGTATTGATTTTGAAGCACATGTGTTTTGGTTTAGAAAATGCAATTTGACTCGACTTTAAAACTTTCGTTGATTGCTCATTTTAATGTACTCCTTAAACTGATATCCTTATTCAACAACACTTAAAAGTTGTGTTTTGAACAATTGTGTTTTTTCCACAGGATGGAGTCAGTGCTCCTGAGAAGCAGTCGTTAAAAAGGGTTGCAGTGGTCGAAGACTTCTTCGATATTATCTACTCCATGCATGTGGAAATAGGTGCAAATGGAGAAAAATCACGAAAACATGCTGGTCAGAAAAGGACCTACAAGGCAGTAAGTTATTAACCTGCAATTCATTCTGGTTGGTACTTGCATATTTAAGGCTGTCAACCTATTCTCTTAATGCTAAAACAAATTCCTTTTCCTAAATACTGTCAAATATTCTTCTAAATATCTTCAAAGGACAACGTTGGTGTTTCTAAATCTCTGCTGATGATATAATACTTCAGTGTTGGATCACAGAAGATTTTATTGCCTTTTAATATTGGAAGCAGTGTTACTGAAAGAAGTTTAGCCTGCGCTAAGGAAGGCAGTCAGCTGGGGGCAGCTCAGCTCCAAACAACTTTTTAAAAAAGTTGTTCAAAGTTCCCCAATGCTTAACTCTGATCGGGTCTAATTTTCCAGTTGTATTAACCGTGTGTATTAACCTATACAGAAGTAATTACAGGTGCCCTAAATTATGTAAACAGTCACTACACGTGTCATTAATTACTTGTGAAATGCTGTGAGATTTTTGAGAGTAATAAGGTAAAGACGCAAAAGAAAAATATTGCAGAATCCAATGAAAGGACCTGTACACAAGCCTTTATCCATGGCTAACACATCCGATATTGTGGTTACGCCACTGTAGTTGGAAGCATGTAGATGCCTTAGTTACACAATAAAAATGTTGAGTTCACTCTTTTTTATTGTTGGACTTTTAAGATTAGCAGGAGAGTAGGAGACGTCTTGAACAACAATACAGACTTTTGGACATGTTCAGGCCCCTGGAGTCTGTGCCTTCTATTGGCTGGCCTGGAGTCTGTGCCTTCTACAACAACAACAACAAGATTGCATTTATAGAGCGCCTTTCATGTCGGGACGATGTCCCAAGGCGCTGGACAGTTGGGTTGGGACCCAATACCAGGTGCCTTCTATTGGCTGGCCTGGTGTGATGTATGTTGAGGCTTTTGGTCCAGATTGTCCAGCACACTCATGGCTACAAAAGATGTAGAATCCAATGAGACTGGAAAGAAAACAATGGATCTTATTCTCTTTTCTTGTATTGTTGATTCTGTGTGTGAGCTGCATGTGGTTTGTAAGCTGGATAGCATAATAGGGAGTACATAATAAACCAATTGTGACATTTGTCACAATTATATTGTGAACATATTGTGGGAGACTGAGGGATTTCCTTTGGCCCATTTGGAAAGTCTAGGACCAAGTATTGAGGTGGATTTGTGGTAAAAGGAGAAAATGGTTTGCAAAAAGGGAGACCTCCGGCCTATACTAATCTGTTGCTCAGCCCCTTGGATGTGGAATTGCCAACATAAGCAGTTTATATTTCTTTGCCAAGGCTTCTCATGTATTGAGAAATGCCTTGTATTAAAAAGGTGGTGTGACCAACCTGTACTTATTGCTCTACTGAATTAGTAATATCCCTCTAGAATGCACATTCCATTGCAGACAACTGGGAAGTTCCAAGTGTCGCAGGCATGCTATGTGGAATTAATTCGGGTTTCCACATGTGTCAGATACCTGGCTGACAAAATAAAAGTGTAGTATTAAAAATGCTAAAGAAAACATAAGACTGAAAGAGAAAATTCTATACAGTTGCATTTGTATGTTTGAGGGCACTCCTGAATATTCAGTGATGCCAACCAAACACTTCACAAAGTAAAAATAGAATATACATGATGGGAAAGTGGGGTGTTCATCCCACTGATCGGCAGGAGGCCATAAACCAACGTGTTTTGTACTGTAGGCTATAACACACACAGTGGGGGGAATTTGCAAGTTTATTTTATTTAATCACATTTCAACACATTTGTATCAACTTTGGCAAATCTCTTTGTGGTCTAAAATGCCAGTTAGGTCATTAGCATTTTCTCATTAGTTAAATTCCTATTACCTGGAATGATCTTCTGCTTACCTCTGTATTTGCTCAAGGCCAATTTTGCCATTCACAAACTTAGCTGACCAGAATATTCTAGGTATATCTATAGAACCATATATAAGATCATTTCATACATGAAAAATAGTATGATTCCCAAGAGTGACCCCTGGGACACCCTGGTTGTAAGCTCTCTTCAGCTTGAAAAGTTGCCAATTCTGGCTACCTTCCATCTCCTGAGTTCTAAGCGAATCGTCTATTCAGGCCATATTATCCCACCATTCAATGATTCTTTTTGCCTTGGTCATTAATTGTTATGTGGAACTTTGCCAACAAATTTCTGAAAATCTAATTATATGATATGGATTTTATTTCCTTTATTAACCATTGGCATACTATTCTTGAAAAGTCCATCAGGTTAGATTGAGCATGACTTCTCTCTCTTGAAGCTGTGTTTATTGTTTTTTAATGAGCTATGCATTTCCACATGTTCGCCCATTGATTTCTCAAAATATTTTCACAGGTTTATTCCCAAAAGTTGATGTTGAAATTACTGGTACAGTATATATAGGTGTGCACACCTCACTCACACCAAACTGAGAGTAAGCAGGACACATGGGTTTTGAACAATAATAGTAATGATATTCCTTGCATTTCATATAGTATTTCACTGAAAAGTGCAGTAGTGACTGTGTAATTTGTAGGTGAATGTTGCTGGGAGGCTGAAGGAGATAGAGACCCTTGATTGTATCAGAAGGGAAAAGTAAATGACCTGTCTGTCAAGCAGCAGCCTCCATCCTGTTTGTTTGGCTTCAGTGTCAGCTTGACTTAATTGGTAGCGCTCTCACCTCTGTGTCAGAACGATATGAGTTCAAGCTCCACGTACAGCTCATAGTCCAGGTAGGCTGTCACTTCACTGCAATGCTGGAGGTGCACTGCATTGTCAGAGGTACAATCTTATGAGATGAGGTTTTAAACTGATGTCTCATATGCCTTTTCAGGTGGACTTTTAAGATTCCATTATTTGAAAAGGAAGGGAGAAGGCCAAAATTCCCTTAATAAAATTGCTTATTGACTTCATGGTTCTTTGTGAGACACTACTGTGCACAAATTGGCTGCGCATTCACCTACAAACTGTATATATTTTTATATATATTTATATTTTGGATGTTGACACATGTGGAAACACATCACCATGCTTTAGAGCACAGTTCCATGCATCCCACCTCCAACAAGGAAATTCCCCAAATTACAGTCACTGCACAGTAAATTATTTTGAGCTTTGAGATGTTTTGACAGCATAAGGCGCTGTATCAAATGTAAGTGTTATCATTTATTTATAATTTTATGATTCAAAATAATGCATACAGATGTTTGTTAACTTGAGTCAACTTGGTACATTTAGCAGCACAGTCATCCATGTATCAAAGTTGTGGGTTGAAGCCCCACATTGGAACTTTGACCTTGTATCCTGGGCAATGTATTCCTCCAATGTAGAATTGGGAAGTCGCTGCATTTTACAGTTGCCATTTTTTGGATGAGACAATAAAACAAGGTCTTGTCTGCCTTTTCAGGTGGACATTAAGGCCTCCCATGACACTGTTTGCTGTTTGCCATTTGACTGCCACATTTAATAATAAACGTTGTATTTGATGTAGCACCTATAATGTTGAAACATTTTAGAGTGATTACATAGGAAATTGCAGTTCAATGTTGTGACTGTGTATTTGTAGATAAAGTTGACAACAACATTCCAGGGACATTCATGAAGTGAATAATAAACTTTATTTGGAGCATTGTTGGTCAGGATACTGGAAGAACTCCCTTTTCTCTTTAGGACCTTGAATGTCCATGTGCACAGACAGATGGTACCGTGGTTTAATGGCACCACCAACAATGCAGCATTAACCTTGCACTGTGCTGAAATGTCAACCCGTGTAATAAATTCAGTCTGACATGGAGATTTGAATCCCCAATCTTCTCACCCAGAATCAAGAGCATTACCAAACTGAGCCAGCCTGAAACATTTGCCTAAATACAGTATACAGTCTCTTCACAGCAGTTCATTAATCTAAGAATACAAATAATAATCCTTGCATTTGATATTGCACCTATAACATTGAAGCATGTCAAAGCACTTGCAGAAATGTGCTGTAATGTGTATTGACTGTGTTTGTAGGCTAATTAGTGGCCAATTTAGGCAAAGCATTGTTCCTCAAATAATATAAATTGAAAGACTGGAGGAATATTAGTCAGAACACTGGGGGAAACCCTGTTTTTTTCAAATTGTGTCATGGGATTTTTAACATCCACCTGAAATAGGCAGACTAGACTTTGGCTTAACGTCTCATCTGAAGGACAGCACCTCTGACAATACAGCACACCCCAGCACTTCTCTGGAGTATTAGTCCAGACAATGAGTTCAAAATTCAGTTTTATAATGAACTTTGAATGCCACACATTTCCAATTCTCCTTGTTCCACCCATATCAAACTTTCCATATTACTGTAATTGATTAGAATAGGTGAAATTTAGTTCTTGAACAGTGATATTTATTCAAAATCTTTTTCATTTCCTCCCAACTTCAGCGCCCAATTATTTGGAACATATTGTCCTGAATAATTTTAATAAATCATACTTTTACAGAAAGCTTCATGATTTAGATCATCAATTTCCACAGATGTAAGAGGTGACATAATTGTGAATAAATAAGAAATAGACAGCCTATTAAAGTCGTAGAGTAAGTACTCTTGGTCTTTGTTAGTATATTTTTTTAATTTGAAAACAAAAAGTTTCTACTGTGAAAGACAATTTTTAAAAAAAGGCACCACAGAAATCTAGCCAGGAGAGAGACAAGTCAAGCTTTTTAGCTGTCAACCCGTGCAGATCTCCCTCTATTATTGTCTATTATATGGAGTTCAGAAAGGGCAGAAGCTGCTGTGAACAAGCAGGTGGGATAGAGCCAAGTCCATTGTGCAGCAGTGAACTAGTGATTAGCAAATACATGAGGTCGTTGCTATGAAATCGTGGAGAGCATGACAACGGAAATCTGTTGCCTCTCTGAATATGGACATGGAAATAGCACATTAAGATTATTGTTTGCAGCTTGCCCGACAACTTCAGCAAGTTCTACTTTCAATGTTTGCTGTAAACCAGGTAGTTTCCTAACAAGCAAACCCAT